TATAGAGACTTTTAGGGCAGAACTGTTATAACTTCAGAGACCCAAATTCGAGTCCTGCGTGTGATTGCTAAGACGTCGTTTTTTTAATATCGCTGGCGTCATGCTTTTGCTGTTCAGCCGGCTTTTTTCGGCAGCGTTAAAAACTTGAATTTACAGAAAAATTAATAACTACCATCTACATCACCCAGAGTAGGTCTAGTAGTGGCACCATTTTCTTCTATCTACTGACACGTTGGAATCAATTGCCACCGTTTTCCTTACTCTGTGCTAAGTTTTACAAGCTCTCAGTGCGTTAAGCATTATTTAAATGTACAGAGATAAACAAGAACTCAGGGATGAACATTTCAAAACAATAAGTTTGAAATCTCTTATTTACTCTCTTCTTTCATCCTCTTATTCTCTACTCCACAGCCTGTTCAAAGTTCACACTTTCGCTAACTGGCCCCGATTTTACGTCGCACAAAGTAGAGGATCCCTTCAAACGCCTTGGACCCATTGCGATTTTTTCAGCGCGTCGTCACTGGACCGCGCCACGCTGTGTACGCCTGCAAAAAGGTTCGTCCATATATCATGAGAATGCATCCACACATTATCGTTGCCACTGTCCGACACCAAACGAAGGTCATGAAGTTGGCTGCAGTCAATATAAAGAGGAATTAGAAAGTTTCGGGTTTCATGTGCGAGGCGATGCACCGGTAATTATCGCGCATGTGGAAATCAATTCCCTGGCTGATGTAAGTATCTGCTGCCAATATGAATTGCAGTAATTCGAATATTTACAAAATAACATAAATTCAGAAATATCTAAAAAAGAATAATATAAAAATTCGCTAATGCGCTTTTCCGTACTTTTTCGCAGCTGGGCGGCATTAAAGAGGGCGATTTCATTGTGGAAATTGCTGGCATGGACGTGAAATGGTATTCACATCAGCAGGTCGTCCGTCTAATACAATCCTGTGGCAGCACATTAGAATTGAAAGTCATTACACCTATGGATAGGAATTACCTGAAGGTAGGTAAAAAANTTCTCTGCATAGCCCCTATCGTCTAAAGGCTCTATTTCCACGCTATCTGCGGCCAGTTCGTCCGGCGTCTCGTCAGGTTCATCCAGCCCTACTGGCACAACAACAAAACCAAAACCACGCTTCAAAACTACATCACCAAAAAGTCGTCTTGGTAGTCTATCATCGAGCTCTTGGAATCCCTTTCGACGTACGCCAAGTCTGGCGAAAATATTCTAAAACACATTCGCGAACAGTGCAGTGCAACAAAATAGAACAACAGTAAAATACAAAATACAAAAATTCCATTGGTGGCCATTTTGTGTGTTTGGCGAAATAACCAGCCGCATGCACTTTCAATTTTTCAATTACTTAATATAAATATTTATGTATATAATTAGAGTATATACAATGTATGTATGTAATTTTGTTTAGAAATATGTTTGTAAGTTTATATCTTTGATTTTCTTTTATTTTGAAAAAGAAAACAAAAGATTTTTGAGTTGGTGTTTTTTTGTTTGCAATGATATCGTTTTCCCATATTTCGTTTTGTCTCCATGCTGCTATAATTTCGTTTATTTTCTGGGTTATGGAAAATATTTGTTAATTGTAAATTATATGCAAAAGATATATGTATGTATATTGAAAGTTTTTTTTTTAATATTCTTATTTTTATATGCACACATATTGTGCTTTTAGTTGTATGTGTATTGACGTTTTTAAACGAA